GGCAAAACTGGACTTTCACCTGCAGAAAGCTAAAACAGGATCCACATATAATACCATACTCAAAAATCAACTCAAGGTGGATCATAGACCTGAGAGAACAGCCCCAAACCATAAAGTTCATAAGAGATAAAAAAGGATCAAGCTTAGAAGCCCTAATCTATAGTATAAAGAGACTGTCAAATACAGCCAGAAATGCAGAATCTTAAGAGGATAAAATTGATAAATGGGACCTTTTAAAGATTAAATCCCTGTGTGCATCAAAAACTTTCCCCAACTAGGTGAAAAGAAAATCTACCAACTGGGAACAAACATTTGGTAATACCATTTTAGACAAGAGTTTACAGAATACCCCTGGGCCCCCACAAGAAAAATACTAATAACCCAATTACAAAATATGCAAAAGCTATGGAAAGAATTTTCACAGTGGGAGGTATTTAAATGGCCAACAGACATGTGAAGAAATGCTCAAAATCACTGGAAATAAGAGAGATGCAAATCAAACACAATGAGATACCATCTCACTCTAGTAACAGTGGCAAATATTAACAGAACAGCAAGTAATAAATGTTGGAGAGGATGTGGTGAAAAAGGAGCTCTTATACATTGTTGGTGGGATTGTAATATGGTACAACCATTCTGAAAGGCAGTTTGGTCTTCCTCAAAAAGCTGAACATAGAAATTCCATATGACTCAGCTATTACACTATTTGGAATATATGCTGAGAAAATGAGAACTGAGGCAGAAACTGAGACTTGTACACCAATGTTCAAAGCAGTGTTATTTGCCATTCCAAGAACAAGGAAACAGCCTAAATGTCCAGCCACAATCATATGGACTGAGACATTCATACAATGGGATACTATGCAGCACCCAGGAGCAATGATTTTATATATTATTACCTTATTTAGGAAGGACTGGACAGCTTTATGCTGAGTGAATTAACTCAGTCCCACAAGGACAAATATTGTATAAAACCATTATTGTAGAATGAGTATGAGAATCCAAGGGGGTGGGGGATGATCGAAACAGAGGGATGAGGATGTGTGGTAAGCGGGGATTAATCATGGGGTTGTACAATTTTGATGGGTTGGGGGTGAGGGAAATTGGAAGAATCTGGTTTGAAAAGAAATGTATTCAAATTTTGTGAATAAACTAGGATTTTAAAAAAGAAGCTAAGCAGGTTGAAGAAACATAGACTCTATGGGTAATATCAAGCAAGAAATGTCCTTGAAACAAACTATCATCTGAATATATATTTCTGGTTAAAATGTCAACTGATAAGTTGTGTCCTTTAAACAGGACACAAATTCATTTTCATTCCAAAATAGATTTATTTCATAATATTACTTCCTATGGCTTTATTCATGTGTGACATTATAAACACATAAATCCTATTATACTAGAAAACTTAACTCTCAAATATAATTTGTAGTATCTCACAATATGAACTTTCAGGTAGCTAAGCTGTGAGGAAATGAGACTTTTTTTCTTCTTCTGAAATTCTGTTTAAAGACTCACTCTCCTGTTCTTGCCTACATTGCTTATCTCACAACAACAGGTTTTAATTCCACATTTACTGAATTCATAATAGCTGAGTATTCAGAAAAGACAGTATGTATATGAAAACAAATTTGTTTGTGCCCAAAGCCTCTGAAGGGTACACCTGAATATTTGGTCTCTGAGAGGTACCAAGAGTCAATCTGTTGGACTTTGACAAAAGCTCTTCTGTAAGTCATCCCTGCTTGCTGAAATGTCCTTCACATTAGCTATAGCTGCTAATTGCTAATCATTAGCAAGTACACACACTTTCATACTGGTGAAACTTTTGTCTGAAATACAGCAATCCAATATTTTATGTGACTCATATTTGGAGTTTGCATTCCTTGTCTTTAGATCTAAACTTCAGCTGAAAAAAAAATACGTACACAGGAAGAAATAGTTGTCCTCAACAATAAGTTCTGGCACTCTTATGAGGTTAAATGATGTGTCAAAAATGTCCCGAGGTGCTTTAGAATGAGTTAAAACTTAAAAAAAAAAATATATTTGAGGCAAGTGACCTCTTTAACATTCTTGCAAGGAAGGTTCATGGTTATGCTAAGATCAAATGTCACCAACAACATTCCACATGCTTTCCTGAACAAATCGCTTCATAGTCAGAATGTAAAAGAAAAAATGAACTCAATAAGTTAAGCAATTTACAAAATAGGCAAAGGATATAGAATTACTCATCCCTTACTTAGTTCAAAATTTTGTAATTAATCACCCTTTCTAACTATGTCCACAGAGTGCTGAACACATTGTATATGGTGCTTGTGAAAGTTCTCCTAACGAATCCTCATGGAGGAAATGGATGAGAAGCGAACTCGCTGTCTAATATGATCTGGTATAGAGTAGGTTTGAAGTCACTAAACGTAGGAAGCAGTGCTTGGCACTTTATTATGAAATCATAATATCTTCTGTAGTGTTATGTGCTAATTCAGTTTGTGCCACAGATCAATAGAGTGACTTTGGGTTAATCATTTCTCATCTTGAGTCTCATTTTTCTAATCTCAACAAATTTTTTTGTATTTTTATTTTATATTGGTTTTCCTATAAAATTTGTATACATTGTGTTTTACACATTCCTTCATTCATGTCGTGTTTCATATAATCATCCCCATATATCATGTTTTATAAAATTAACCACCATTGAACTATGCCCACCATTACTTCACTGGCTTATCCTTAGAGTCCTTTTGGCTTTCCACAAAAGATTAAGACATGTATTGCACCGGGGAAAGTCTTCAGTAAGGGACCTCTCCAAATCACTGAGGAGCAATTACCTTAGTTTGAGGACTAAGGTGTGCCTAATTCAGACCATGATTTTTTCAATAATTTGTTCTGTATCTGAAAGCTGGATAATGAATAAGGATAACAGAAGAAAAAGAAATGCCTTTGAGTTGAGGTGTTAAAGGAGAGAATTGAATATCCCATGGACTATCAAGAGAATAAACAGGTATGTTTTTGAGAGGGTGAAAGCAGATTGCTCCTTGGAATCAAGGATGGTGAGGCCTTGTCTCTCATAATTTTGACATATTAATAGGAGAGGCTGTTCTTTGGAGAAGGACATTATTCTTGGAAAGGTGGAGGGACAGGACAGTAAAGGAGAGGAAAACCTTCACTGAGATGGATTGACACAGTGACTGAAGCAATGGGCTCAAGTTTGTCAGAGATCTTAAGGTTGACACAAGATAGGGTCACTATGTTTATAGGGTTTATAGGGTCATTATGAGTCAGACTTGACTTGTGGTTGTTGTTGCTATGTGCCATCAAGTTGCTTGTGACTCATAGCAACCCTATGTACAACAGTTCTGTCCTGTACCAATTGCACTGTCTTTGACATTCCCATCCTGATTACCCCAGTCACTGCCTCAATCCACCTCATAGAAGGCATTCCCCTCCTGCGCTGTCCCTCCACCCTACCAAGCATGATGTCCCTCTCCAAGGTCCGGTCCCTCCTTACAACATGCCCAAAGTATGTTAGAAGAAGCCTCAGAATCTTTGCCTCCAAGGAGCCACCCGGTTTAACCCTCTCAAGGATGAATCTGTTTTCTTAGCAGTCCATGGTACCCTCAATATTCTTCTCCAGCACCACAGCTCAAAGGCATCAATTCTCCTTCTATTCTCCCTAGTCATTGTCCAACTCTCTGATGCATAACAAGTGATAGCAAAGACCATGGCCTGTATCA